TTTCCTTTAAAAAGGGAAAAGAAAACATTAGGGGAAAAACATGTTGCAGATCTATAACATAAAAAGCATTACGTGGCATAAATAGTATAGTGTATGTACTAACATTTTGATCGCAGAAGTGGTGTGCTACATATTTTTCTTGGAAGCCCTTGCTTTTAAACTGACTTATATAGAATCAAATAAAAAATAAAATAAAGCATATTCAGCTGTTTTGCAGCAAATGCTTGGTTTTTATACTGCAATATCCATATAGCAATGATATAAGCAATTTGCTGTCAGTGTTTCTTTTCAAATGGTTGTTCTTAGAAGATATAAAATGGTACATAAAACATGAAGATAGATTCATTTTGATTTCTCCCCCCCTCCCCTTTTTTGTGTATTTTTTTCTTAAAACTGTGTTTATAGAATACTACAGAGTATCATCTTCTAATTGACTCTTGCCTGTAGCAGACTGCTTCTTTGTAGCACATATGAATAATGGAAGTTCGAAAAACTTCTGGAAATTCAAAATGATTATATGTTTGTTTCCACAGTCGGTAGAACACAGCCTTGAGTCCTGTGTGGTTTAGGAGAACCCCTTATGTACCTCTGGTTTCAACGTAGGCATCAGTGACAAAATATGTGTTCTGTAGATACTGAAAAAACATACAGACTTTCTTCCATTAGTGCAAGTTCTCAGAACTCTTTGTAATGAGATCCAAAGGAAGAGGAAGAGGTTTGGGAGGGTCTGCAAGGTTCCCACAGGGAAACGGAGCCTGAAGACTGAGCTGCAGAGAAAGATAATTTCTGATATTTGTTTAAACTGAACAAAATTGGCCTGTCTGCTCTGCTTTCCATGTCAATCTCTTGGTGACTGTTTTTTATCCAGTTTCCTGAGGTCAAGGATAGAACCTGGATTTAGAACCTATGTGCTGAAATGCATCAAAGTAGTACTACAGTTTGCCTTATTTCCTAACTAACTGTAAAGTCTGCTTCTTGTTTTGACTGCCTGTCCTTGAGTACTAACAGGAATGTGACTAAGCAGCACTGCCATTTAGCTTATTAGTTGTTCTCATATAATTGAGATCCAATTGGAAGGGAAATTAAAGACATACTGTTTATATTTGGAGAGTGGTGTGAAGCTTTGGAGCAATTTTTTTCAGTTTGTTGCACTGAGCTTTGTCCTGAAGGGAAATGTCAGTTCTCTGATGCTATCTGCTAGATGCAAAGTTGTGAAGTCAACAATTTCAAAATGTTTTTTAAAACTTTTCCATCTTGCAAAGTGAGCTTTAGTTTTAGTGAAGGCTAAAATTGGACACAAAGGTTTAATGTATTGTGTCAAGTCCTTGCTTGACAGGTCTTCCCTTAAACCAACCAGGATTAATCGGAGTCAGAGTAACTTTATATCTTACAAGCAGGCATCCTTGGTTTAAAAATCAAGTTTTTAAACTTGGATGTTATGCTTTTATAGTTACTTTCCTGAAGGAAGTTTGAATTGTACTGGCTACATCATGTGATACTTTCATTCTTTTTGCAAACCAGGGAGACGTACCGCAGCTGTGTTAATATAAACATTATATAACTAGGCAAAATGCTACTTGGATTATTACATTTCTAAATATGTTAGCAAATGTCATGAGTTATGTTTATTATTTTCCAGCTGGGGATTAACTTTTTGAGTCATACTGCTGAATCTGCATGAATATTAAATTCAATTGTGGAGAGCAAAGGCAACCAGATATGATGCAATCGCGTTGCCGCTTCTCCATTTGTGTACTGCTGGCTATAGAGGACAGAATTCCTTCATCATACTAACCTGATGGACCTACTGAGAAGGAAAAAAATAGTCTGTCTTTGAATCGGTTTCTTGACTTTGAACTAATTATTAAACAGCATTAGTCAAATAAGAAGAAAGGATGTGTCCTTTCTGTGCCTGCAGAGGAGGTCCTGCTCTCAGAAGCCAGCTCAGCACTGCAGCAAGCTCTGGTTGCAGCTTCTGAGCCAGTGACTTGTGCCATGACTTTCTTGCAGCTAGGGAGCAAACACAGACTGTCTGCATGTTTTGCCTCAATGAAATCCATTGTTGAACAGCTGATAGCATATTAGTCCTTTTATCATTTATGATTTCAAAATGACTATGGAATAGTATTTTAATGTTATAGAGATAATAATTTATATCGACCTTGCTCCATTCTACCCCTATTCAGCTGGAGTTTAGGGTCTTGTTCTAGAAATCATGAGATGACTTTTTGGAAAGGCTCCAGAAGCCAGGATGTGGTCTCCTCTTTGCCCTCTCTTTGCATGCAGTTGGCTTAATTTGCCTGCAGTCTTCTTACATGTTTTCTCAGAAGACGTGGAAGAGTTCCCAGAATAGTGCAGGCTCTTCGGAGGAGTAGAAGCTCCCTCACTTCGTACCCACTGACAATGTGATGGTAACATATCTGTCACTATTGCTGCTCTGCCACAAGCGTTTTAGGATAAAACCGCATAAGAATCTCTTATACTTGGGGTTGGACAGAGATTCTCTGTCTTAGTCCAGGCCTATAAAGAAACCTCAGCCTCTCAGAACTTCAAACATTTGGGATATCATTTTATGTTCGTTTTAGTGATACAAGAAAGGAAGCATTTTTTTATTTCTGCATATCACTCCCAAATAATATAAGTAATATGGCTAGAAAAATCTTGTTTTATGCAAGAGAATTTGTATATAATATAGATTGTATGTTATTATTTCCAATACAGGGATTCACGGCTGAGTTGCTTAAGCATTTATCTATGTACATGGGCTGTAATTGCTACTTGTGAGTTCAGATATCTTATTTTTGGATGTCCAGTATTCAGAAGAGGTAACTTAAATGTTCTGGATGAAGCTTCTCCAAGTATCAGAACCCATAAAATCATGTATCAAATTTCCTTTTTGTCCTGATTTACTTTATGTAAATCCAGAATCAAAACAGAGGTACTTTATGTTTAGCCAGCAAGTTGAACAGCAAATGAATGGATTGACTTAGATGTGATTACTACTAACTCACAAGTTTGCTAGATAACATGGCAGTTTTACAAAGTCTAGATGGAGCTACTTTTCCTAGATGGCAACATCCGCTGCCTGCTCTTTTGGGCATGGAATTCCATTGGATTTGGCATTTATTAGCTTTGCAAGATGCGAGAGAGGAAAAACAAACACAATTTTGAGGTATATCAAGAAGCAGATTAGGAAGCTGTATGTCTATATTAAGTCAAGCATAGGATATATCGGATGAGGACGTTGGTCTGTGAGCTCTGTTGCGCTGTCATTTGCTGTTCAGTCCTACTTACATGAGTAAGGAGTACTCCCTCTGAGTTTGGCTTGTGGTATTGGACCTCTAATAAATAAAATGTAGGACTCTCCTGAGAAAACATCCCGTGCAGAAGCCAAAGGAGTTGTCCAAGTTTGGGTGGGCTGCTGATGTCAGAAAGGAATGCGCCCAACGGTTGTGGGGTGAAGAGCAGATTCAGGGAACTGTCTTGTGTTTGTGTTGGCTCAGTGCTCAGACATTCCTCCTCCTCCTCACACCAGTTCCCAGCTGTGCTCCTGCCAGTCTTACCAGCTTCCCTAGGAATGTTCCTATGGGCTCTCCTCATTGCTTCCATAGATGTCCATGCAGAAATGCTTGATCAAATGCTGAATCAAGCAAGTACAGTCTCCTTTCATGCGTTCACTCTGTTCCACTCCAGTTTATACTCAGAGGTGGTGACCTGCAAGCTATAGATAGGACCCAAGATTACAGATAAACATTTGAAATGGAGTAACTGGTTTGCTGGAATCTTGAGCAGTAGTTTTCTCTCTTCATTATTTTTTTTTTCAATGTATCTTTGTGAAAATACGACCCTCTGCACTTGGACAGACTGACCCTACCTCTCATCGCCCAATAAATCAGAGTACTCATAGCATCAGTTGTAAAATATCCCGTTTCTTTGTTAAATAACTGTGTTACTTTAAAGGTTTTGGAACTGAAAGCCTTACAGTGTTTCATCTTTCTACCAAAAAAGTCTTCATGTGCTTTTAACATTAGCAATAGAGAGAGTTAATTTACTATCTTCTGTCAGATTCTTGGCTTTGCAGAGTCAGGCTTTCTTCACACAGGAACTCAGGTTATAAAACCTCGGCGGCAGGAAGCCTATAAAGGAGGGCTCTGTGGGGCAAGAGCCCCGGCGGCGTGTGTTTCACAAGGGCTGGTCTTTTAAAGCCTAGGTTGCTACCCTACAAAGCGGGGAGGGCAGCCACAACTTACTGGGCTGCTGTAGCTCTGAGGCATCCTCTTCCAGAAGCAGTCCTGCTGAGCTGTGCTGGGAGGCTAATGCTTCCACCCATGTAAAACTGTTGTTTCTGGCAGTGGTGTTGCTGCTGGAGGTCTGTCCACCTGTGTCACCTCCACAGGTGAATGAAGACCTCTGCGTCTCCATTGGCAAGAGGAGGGGTATCAGTGTCCTTTGTCACCATGGCTTAAATTTTCTTAGGAATCTCTAAACCCTCTGGTGTCAATAAATGGTGTTCTGTTGTGGCTTAAAATGTGTGAATCTTCTTGATGAAACGAACGTGATTTATTCCTTGTGCAGACTTTCATTTGGGAAGTGTGAAAAAATGAATACCTTTCATAAAAATGTTCTGATCTATAGTGGCCTCTATACGTCAAAGAATCCATCCCTGGAACAGTCTTGGTGTACTTCGTTAGCTCAAATTCTGTATAAGATTTTATTCCTTGCTCAAAATAGTCCCTGGTTTTGAAGGGTATTCTCTGGCTGGTTGCCGTTCTCTGCTCAAGGTTCAGCAAAATTAGGCACACGTATGTCCTATGCAAAACACTAGAGGACTTCTAGGATGATAAATGTTACGTGCCTGAAAGTATTTACTTTGCAATTGGGATGCATTGATGCTGTGAAGGTGTGACGATGAGAGATAATGTTGAAACAATTTCACTCATTTACATGCTCTCTTGGTGTATTTTTTTTTGATGTATAATTTTAAAATGTTCCATTTTCAGGTGACAATGGCCAGAATTGGAATAAATGAGAGTCGTTTGAAGGAGACCTGTGAAACAATACTTTTCGCTCTCCGAATGGCAACGTGGAATCAGATTTTAGATCCTTGGGTGTACATTCTTCTCCGGAAAGCTGTACTTAAAAATCTGTACAAGATCACGAGGGGATGTTGTGGTGTGCACGTTATAAACTTACACATGTGGGAACTCAGCTCCATCAAGAATTCTTTGAAGGTTGCAGCAATATCTGAGTCACCAGTAAGTTCTAAACAAATAAACCTACATCCACTCAGCTCTATGGGGCAATAGAGTTAAACACGGTGTATGAAGAGACGATGGAGACAACGCTCATACATGGGCAATACCTTAAAATGAACTCCAAGGCTCAGTGGTTTGGCGTTTGTTTTAAATTGTGAGTGGTTTGCTCTTGTTGCTTACCAGTTTGATATTGCTACTCCAAAAGATGCACTTGAATGTTTTAATTCGCTTTAGAATATATCCCTTCCAAAGCTGGTAGTAGAATGATAAATCATCCTATCTTTCTCCCTTCCAGCTACCAAAGTGAACAGGATTCCTTATAATACTCCCCACCAAATTCTTTGCCATTGCAGGCTTCTTAAGATCACGTGCAAGTGCAAAACTGATCATCGAAGTGATATTTAATAGGGGTAGATTTTATCTACCAGTGATACCCCCAAATCCTTTGCAGAGCCACTACTTTTCAGTATGAAGTCCATCATCCTTTCCATAAGGGCATTCTTTGCTTCTAGTGGTTGAATTTTCCAACTGGATATATAAAAGACATTTTGCTTGTGCCCAGCTTATTAAATGATCCAGTTTGCTTGGTTCATTGACTTGACCTCTTAATTATTTACTGTTCCGTGAATTTTTGGGAGAGCTGCAAACTTCATCAGTGTAAGCATTCCTTTCAAATCACTGGCAAAACATGAGGTTCTCTGTGGAAACACAGAAACAGATCAGTTCAGCTTGCTTAGTCACATTTTCAAATCTATTGGTGAGTTTTTAGTCCTTTCAACAAATTTTGTTTAAGCTAGCAGGCATAAAGCTGTGGTTAGTCTGTAAAAAGTAGGATTTTTTTCCCCCCAAACTGAAGGAACTTTCTTTAAGCGTTCCTCTAATGCATATACTGAAATGCTCATAAGGTACATCCGCTTCATTTGGAAAAGGTCATACTAGAACGCAATTGGACGCATTTGGAAAAGTGTCCCATGAAAAATGTGTGTGACCAAGTGGAGGGAACTGCACTGGGAGCATGGTTGTGTTTTTGAAAGCAAACTTCATGCTCGGTTTTTGCACGGTCTGTGTCTGAAAAGCTGAGGGCATTCAGTATATTTGAAGGTACCAGAAACTTTCCAGAACTTTACACAGGAGGCCCTTTACCTTTAATGCTGCTAAAAGAAGCTTTGTTTTTTGTGACTGTACTTGATTCAGAAGCAAAAATGAGAGTATCGGAGACTTGGTAGCAGAGGGATTTTTTTACGATAGAAATGTCTAATGTTGTTTTTACCTACTTCAAGTAACTGCATTAGTGAATCATTGGTGTATTTGGACAAAAAGTAGTTAAAACCTGATTCACCAAGAAGACAGTCTGAGGGACCATAACTATTCACAAACTACAAATTCATGTTGTATGTGAGAATAGTTTAAGTCATAACATAAAAAACCAAAAGATTTAAATATTTCATTTTTTTATTTTAAAAGCTATTTCCTTTTTGTTTTAAAAAGGTTGAAAAATAAATGGGTTAAATAACCCTATAATGAAATGAAATGGCTTTGTTTATCCTGAATAATATCTGTGTGTGATTTATTTCCTCAGTCACAGAGCTGATAAACCATGGACAGATTTGATGCTGGTATAAGCTCTGCACTGTTGCTTTTGTGTGGGTTCTGCTGAAATCTGGAAATTTTCAGTCTGCTCAGTTTGGCTTTTTCATTTCATAGAATGTGGTGCCAGTGTATCTGTTGATATAAATTATTTGCTCTTTATGGAAGATAGTTGTTTTAGCAGCTGCAAAAAAATGTTGGTCCGTAAATTGTTGAGATATTTGATCGGTGAATGAAGCTCATCAATGTTCCATTTTGTTATGTGAATAAATGTGGTTTGTGTAGTTTATACTGGTTGACTTGTAAAACAAACAAAAGTTTATATGTATATGTGATTTCTTATATTTTGTGTACTAATGCATCTTGAATGTAAATTGCAAAGCCTCATTAAAGTTATATCACTCATATCACTTGAGAGTTATGATATTTTCTCATTATAGATCTGAAGTTGTTAAAAATCATTGTTGTGATAAAAACCCTCACACAGGATTCAAGCCAGCCACTGCCATTCACAGGTGTGATAGCAATTGTGAAGGTAAAGAGGAGGACTGGGAGAATTCAAATAGGAAGTGCCAGTGCTCATTTTCATGTGAGCAGCCCAGTGCAGTTGGTGGTCTAAGGCAAACAAGGTCAAGTTCTGATGATCCATGCCTATAAAATGCAATTAAAAGTGAATCCTGAAAAAAATATGAGCTTTGCTGTTAATACTTTATTTTGTTGAGAATTGTGGTGGCCTGAAGAGGCAGCTCAGGATACAGCTACCCAAGGATCTGTTACCACATAAAATGATTTGATTATCATTGCATTTCATCTCACAGGAGAGCCAGCGATGTGCTGCGTTGTATGATTAGCAAATTATATGTTTTATGGAATATGAGATCATAAAAAAACCAACAATGGGATAGCTTCACACTAGTATCTGAGTATTGCCCAGGCAGGGAGAAAAGGGCAGTCTGCTCAGCACTGTGCTGATGATCTCTTTAGAGGTTGGTTAACGATGTGAGCAGTCATGAGCTGCCTGTTTACTGCTAGGCAGTAATTAGTGCCTCCAGAGCAGGCTGGAGCAGTAAGTGCTCTGGTAGGAAGAAAGTCAATCTTTTTTCTGACTAATGACTGAGGAAATCCTCAGGTGGGAGAATATTTTAATCTAATTGGGATTTTAGGCAATGGCAGGCTATATAAGGAAGCACATTCTACAAAACTGAGGTCCTAGCCTGAGCTGAATCAACCTGCTGAAGCAAAGAATGTGCCAGTAACAAGTTGCTCATCCCTGGGATTAGGCAAATGTCTGTAGTGGTTACCTAGATACAAAGATGGAGAACAAGGTTTAAGGTCTTGATCTGATTCTTGAAACAGAGTGTCCACCTTGTGTGTTTGTATGTAAGTATTATATACAAGTTATTAATATGTAAGTATTTTTATTACTTTAGTCTGACGTGTTAGGAATTATTTCAGGAGCAGCATATGTACCAGTTCTGTAGCCGTGGTGATCCATTAGTACAGTGTTCAGACCTTTTAGATATGCCCCTCTGCTGATATGCTCCTCCAGGATTTTACTGGTAAACTAGCACCCTTCTGATTAACTGCATAGATTGACATGAGATTTAATGCTCAACACTTGTGTCCTGGGAAAAGTGCTGAGATCCCAAGGGGATTTATACCTGTCATGAAACCTTTTGTTGCTTTCTTAAAAATCTGGACACTTTTCACTTCAAACTTCTGTGATCTGTTAACTTTAAAATGGCAAAATTGTTCTTTGATTTCAGAAAAACAATGATTTTCAATTCAGTCTTGCTGCATTATATTGAGGCAAGTATTTACTCCCTGAACAGACAATGTTTTCCTGCTGAATGTGAGTTAGTTTTACTACTTACTAGGAAATCTTAAACACTAACAGTGTAATGCTGTTCCGAAGATGAAATAAAAGAGGAGCTATTTAATATTAGTAGTTGCATTTTGTGTTCTTGAGATAAACCTGAATTTACGACTTTGTGATGGGGAATAGCTGCAAGAAAGAAAACCAATTATGAATTCCAGTACCCAATGGCCATCAGATAGTATAAATGTGTATCTCAAATGGAAAATACTGCGCATTAGTGCTATGTTGATTGGTTCAGTAACAACATGCTTTTTATTCTCATATAAATTACTTTTGAAAGGTGGGCTGCTCATTACCAGGGGATGCACCACCAGGGGACTGGTGATGAAAGGTATTTTGTGTCTCATGGCTTCTTGTCTTGGGCACTAGAGCTGGATAAACAATGGGGAAAATATCATATTTGATTCTCTACGTGGAACAACCACTATCACAGCTCACTTCCCTTGACCATTAGTACACTCGGTTAGATGCTTTGGAATGGGACCTTTTTCTGTTGTAAATACAGCAATTCAGATTAAGTCAGTGATCCCCTCTACACCAAAACGTTTGCCAGGCTGCTGTCCCCTCAGCTTCTTGGGCTGCTGGGGTGCTTTTGGAGCAATCTGGCTGAACCACAGCTGGAGGGACAAGGTGTCTGGCGTGTGCTCCTGCTGCCTTTGCACTGGTTTTGGTGTTTGAATGCACTGTGAGTTGACTGATCTGGAAAAAAAAGGCCAAAAAAATAAATAATGAGTGTGGTAAAAGAAGGAGTAATTGTTTACAGGCATCATGAGTCCAATTGCTTGATGTTGCAGTGCCAGAAATTTTGCAAGGGCAAAGCAAAGTGGGTGTGGGAGGAAGTGGATCAGCAAAGGGAAAGGCTATGAGAGCTGCCTTGCTGAAAAGCTGTTAATTTTAATCAGCTGTTTTGTCAACCCATGTGCTTGATGGGAGGAGATCAGGCTGGTGAGCAGGACCTACACATGCTTATCATTATAGCATTCTTAGATGATACTCACGGATTCATTAACTCATTCTTTCTTCAGGCTTTTCCAAGCTTTCCTGGTTATTTAAACTAATTGGGTCACAATTAATTTCTTTTTGTGAGGGCTGAAAAAGGTAATGACTGTTGCAGGTTTTTCTCTATCATCTGTTAGTTTTTCTTCCCTGATAAGTAGTAATCCATACTTTTTCTTGTTTTATTTCATTTTATAACATCTGGCAAATCAAAACATATTTGCCGTCTGACCCTTAATGTAGCTGGTGCTCTGCTTTTATGCAATTAGGTACAATATACATCTACGACCTACAGTTCTTGGCTCAAGTAACTTAAAAGTTTATAGCTGAGTATGATTTTTTATTAGCAGTCTTGCTGAGATCTGAGCTTGGGAGTGAGTAGAGAGGATCCAACCGTAGTAGGGCAGCAGAACATAGATGTGAGTATTTTCAGCTCTGTTCTCCATGTTCCTTCCCATACCAAAAGAAAGTTCTTCCACTTTCCATCGAACTTTTGTTTTGAAATTACTTTAATTATTTTAGAAGAGAAATACCATAGGAAAAAAGTCCCATCCATTTCTGTGGAAAAGTTTGATGACTTTTTGGAGGTTCTGTGTTTAGAAGGGGTAGGCAGTACAAGTGTGGAACACATCTGTTGGTGGAAAACCAGGGATCTGATCAGAGAACCTGAAAATAGTGCAAAACCTAAAACATTAGGTTCTACACATTACAATTTATTCATAAGAAAGAAGAAAACAAACAAAAGTAATATTTGCTGCAAGTTACAGGAAGAATTAATAACATAAAAATACCGAATGTCTAGTCAATCACAACTGTTTGCCAGAAAGATCTGACCCTCCTTGTGTGGGGAAAAAGGCTTCCTGTGAACATTTCAGCAACTCCAAATGATGATGCTTTAAGAACAAATCTATTTACCTCACTTGCCCCTTTTTTTCTGCTGCCTCCTGTAAACATGATGATATGTGAAGCGATTGGACAATCATTAAATATTAAAAGTAGCATTTCAAATGCAATTAAAAATTGTTTATAATTACTATAAGTTAAAGATTGACATAGATATCCTACGGACTTTGTTTCTTAGCAACGCATTCATGGAGTCTTCAATAGAAAAAAACAATCCTGTGGCTGCAGGAATATAAATATATATCTATCTAGTTGTTTAAGTTTGGCACCATGGTTGCAAAATAAATACTTGCTACAGAAGTTTACAAAGATAAACCCATTTCACTTTTTTTAAAAAGGCTACTGCCAGTAAGTTGACAAGTTAAAAAACTTGAGGCAAAAAATTGTTATCAGTAAAACATTGCTACCAAGTTGCTACCACTCACAGCAAAAGTTTGTGTGTGTATTTACTTTCTTCTGAAGCCAGTGTAAGAAAAATACTTTAAGTTCTGTTGTCAATTATAAATTCAGCTATTTGTATTCTGAAACAATTTGTTCATTGGATTACATGTTTCAGGCCTATTTTTTTGCAGAAGCTGAAAGCAGAGCTGTGTGCAAGTGAGGGCTCCAGCAGGAGAAGTTACAATAGTCCATGCCAAAGCAGCCTGGTGGCCTAGAGCAAAACTTTTGCAATGTCACTTGGACAAGTGATAAAGTCTAAATTACATTTCAGGATTCAAATTTTTGATTTTTATAATCCACGATGAGCAGTGACTTCTTGTAATTTCTAGGCTGCCTTAATTTTCATCCATTAAGTTCTCCAGATACCTGAAATACCACGTGCTATGTGCTGCTCCTTCTTGTCTATGTAACACTGTCATTAGAGGAAGATGAAGAAGGCGGAAGTTTAATCCATGATTTCCTGAAGAAATTTAATCCTTGCTTCCTAAAATAGTAATTTGACATCCATCATCTGTGGTGAAGATAGACTGGTTTGCAAAAACCACTGTAACTGACCCCCCCGCCAGGGAAGGATTGCGACTGCCATGCAAGTTTGGAGTGCTCATTCCTCAACAGAAAACTGTGCTGACCCCTGGGCTCCACTTATTGCTTAACTCATGACAACCAAGTCCCTTTGTGAGTATGAGACCTTGAACTTCATGCATTCATCTGGTGTGTGGGTGACGTGATCTTTGTTGCTTTCCCTTTGCTTTCTCTGGTATTTTTCCACTGCAGTGGAGACAATATCTGAGGCCCTTGACTATTCCATCTTGGCTGTTACAGCCCCTCTGTGGTAGGCAAAATTTCTCTTTCCATGGTGATAAACTCCAGGAATCTGTACCACCACGTTTCAGCACAAGGTGATAGCCATCTTCAAAACTTGCCTTGCTCTGAACAGGGGGTTGGACATGATGACCTCCAGCATTACTTCTGTCCTAAATTATTTCATGTTACTTGCACAAATTCTTGTCTGTATATCCCAAGTCAGGCCTGTCATGAGTACAGCTTATTCTCTCGTGTATTTGTGGCTGAGGAAACAGGATTTCTAGTGGCTGGACTTAGTCTGTCAGCAGATTAGTGCTTTCTGGTAAAATCTTTGGTGGACTCTATATAACTTCTGGTGTCTGGAGTTCC